AATAATAATATATTAAACAAAATCTAAACAATTTAATAAAGAGAGACAAATCACTCTCTAAAAAACAAAGAATTTAAAAACTCTTTTTTGTAATTCACAAGTAACTTATGGATGAAAATAAATTTTTCTAAAATATTATTTTGAAAACTCTAATATTTCTTTTTCTTTAATAAGTTATTAAAAATATTATTTTTATTATTTATATCGTCTGATTTAAAATATTTTTCACCATCACCACTTTTTTACCCTAATATCATAAAAAAGTCAAAATATTCATATATACAAAATCTAATTTTCAATATTAAAAATATTTAATGTAAAATAATAAAATAACTAAAAACATATATGTAAATAAAAATTATCATAGCATATAAGAACATAAATAATTAATTATCTAACAAATATTTATTTTAAATAATACAAATTAATAGAAAAATATAATTAATTACGTTGTGGTTGTCGTCGCTGCTGCGGTTATGAGGAATAGACTCCACCCGTGTTCAATGGTAAACTCGGAGGCTAGATTGAGAACTGAGTTATTATTACTCAGAACGTCATTGTTTCTACTCGTCCTTTGAAACCCAATTCCTCCACAGTCTGTTGGCTTTGTGGCAAATTTGCTCCTTCATTAACTATAGTTTTCTGACTCAGAGTACTTGGCAATGTCAATGATCCTTGCCTCTGCAAATTCCCACCAGAAATACTTCTCCTCCAGAAACTGCAGCTGTCGTCTTAGCTTCAGTCTCTTCAGCAGTTGATATATTTCAATATTTCATTGATCAAGTCTAAGTTTGAGCCCGTCCATTTAAATTCGGTTTATTATAAAAATTTTAATATTTTAATTTTTTTGCTTAATATTTTGATACTTTTAAACATATTTAAAAATAAATTTTAATCAACAATATATTTATCATTATTATTAATAATTTTCTAGAGTTAGATCGAGCCCAAACCTAAAATTATGTGGAGCTGAACTCGAATTGGCAAATTCTATACTAAGGTTAACCTTAATCTAAGGTTACGGATAAGAGTCATTAAATTTAAAGGATTCATTTTCAGTTATTGATCAATGAAAAATTTTATAACCTGTTTACTTAACAAACAAGTTAAATAAAAACTTATATAATCCAAAATAAATAAAATGATAAATTAAAAGGAAATAATTAACACAAAAATATTAATTGGAGCAAAAAAACTAACAAAGAGAATAACAGAAATTTTTATAAAAATTAATCATTTATAATTATATTTTTTGAGAAAAAAAAGTTAAATATTGAGAAATTTTTAAATAAATTTTATAATATAAATTTTGTTTAATAAATTAATATTTTAATAGTAATTATTTTTATTTTTATTATTACTCATTTATAAATTAAAATTTATAAACAGTTAAATACTTTTAACTCAATATTAAAAAATTAAATGTTTAATATTAACAAAAATTAAATTTATTTTGACTTAATTGATTTGTTACGTTAAATTTCACACATTTACGTTAATATTTTTCCAACGCTTATTCCACTTTTATAATTTTTTACGTTAATTCTTATGGTTTTATGTCAATGTTTTCAAACTATTAATTCTCATCATAATGTTTTTTATCCTTATTATTATTTTGCATAGATTAAAATTTGGAAGCTGTAAAATATTTTAAACTCGAAAATAAAAAGTTAAATATTTAATTTTTTAAAATATTATATTTATTTGACATAATTGACTTATTACATTAAATCTCACACATTTACATTAACATTTTGATAATACTTGTTCCACTTTTATAATGTTTTACATTAATTCTTATGGCTCTACGTCAAAATTTTTTTACTACAAATTCTCACAATAATTACCATTAAAATTTGTAAACTATAAAACACTTTAACCTCGAAAATAACAATTTAAATGTTTAATTTTTAAAAAAATTATATTTATTAGATATAATTAACTCATTACATTAAATCTCACATATTTACGTAAATATTTTGAAAATGATTGTTCCACCTTTTTAATGTTTTCTGTTAATTCTTATAACTACCGTCAAGGCTTTTTAAATACTAATTTTCACCATAATTCATTTTATCCTTACTATTATTCACACATAAATTAAAATTTATAAATCATAAAATACTTTAAATTCAATAATAACAATTTAAATATTTAATTTCTCCTTGAAATTATGTTTATTAGACATAATTCACTTATTACGTTAAATTTCTCATATTTACGTCAACATTTTTATAATGTTTCTTCCACTTTTATAATATTTTGCAATAATTCTTACAACTTTACATCATAACTTTTCAATTAATATTTTTCATTGTAATTCTTTTTATCCTTACTATTATTCACGCATATATTAAAATTGTCAATCATAAAACACTTTAAACTTGAAAATATAAAAAATAAAATATTTAATTTTTTAAAAAATTACATTGTTTTAACATAATTGACTTGTTACGTTAAATCTCATACATTTACGTTAATATTTTGACAATACTTATTTCAACTTTATAATGTTTTGCGTTAATTCTTGCCATTTAACGTCAAGCTTTTTCAACTACTAAATTTGAACATAACTCTTTATATCTTTACTATTTTTCTTGCATAGATTAAAATTTGTAAACTGTAAAATACTTTAAATTCGACCATAACAATTTAAATGCTTAATTTATCTAAAAATTATGTTTATTTTACATAATTAACTTGTTACGTTAAATCTCACACATTTATATCAATATTTTGACAATCTTTGTTCCACCTTTATAATGTTTTATGTTAATT